TTCAGCCGCCCCGCGACGACGGCCACGACGCGCTGCAAGGGGGTCCGGGCGGCAGCGGGCCTAGTGAAGAGGGCTGCAGGGGCCAGGGTGGGCCAGCAGGCGTGCACGCGAGCGCTCATGCTGCGCGGCAGGCTGACGGCTTTGGATGGACACACATGGTGAGGGCGCGCACCCCCTGGCCCTTTTCACACCCAAACCTGCAGCCCCTCAGCCTCACCTCAAGCCTCTCGGCATCACATCCCGCAAACTCCTGCGGGACGTCAAGAGTTCGAGCAGGGCTTGAGAATGTGGCCACAGGTGCGTGCGAGTGTGTGGACGGTGATCGACCCGCTGCGCACCAACGGGCTGTGCGCAGCCGCAGCCCAGGAGGCATGAGCGCCTCTGAAACAGAGCACGGCCCCGTCCGCCTGCGCCCGTGACAGTGCTTGATCTGGCTCACCGCGGCGGCGGCGTCCAGCATGGCGGCGGTGGCGGCGTCCAGGCCGGCGAAGGTTTTGCGGCCAACAATGTCCGCAATTGTTGGTGCCTGCGGGGCCAGGGTCGTTGCAAGGGTGTGTGCGGACCAGGATCAGCCGCAGCATTGGTGACGGCTGCTGCAAAGAAGCGCCCTCGCACGGTCTTGAGCCAGGGGGTGAGTAAAATCAAGCACGCGACTATCTGCAAAACAAACGCGGTGCGTGTGGGAACACGCAAAAGTGGCGCACCTCGGCCGCGCCGCCAGCCCGGCCCCGCTGCAGCCGCCGCGTGGACGCGCGCACGCCCTTAAGCAGCGCAGCAACGTCGTCCCCGGTCAGCGGCGACCTGTCCACTGTCACTGCCAGCGCGCACAGGGCCGCCGCGTGGCCTTCGCGCCAGGGCCCCGGGAAGCTGCACCGCGCCAGCGCTCTGTTGGCGCTCAACACCTCCTGGGAAGGCAGAGGGAGGGAGAACGGGAGGAAGGGGTCCAGGCAGTCCTTTTGCGCAGGGCACAGTCCCTTGGACGTGCTGCGGCGCATACCATTGAAGAACATGCCGCAGGGCACACTGCGGGAGAGTGCGCCTGCCAGCACCACCGCTGCTTGCCCGCATGCAGCACATCCGCCCCCGCCGCACCTGAATCAGCTCAGTCGTGGCTAATAAGGACCTGGTGGTCTCCTTGGAGGCCTCCATAGCCGTGGGCGTCCACGGCTTGCTACGCAAAGAGTTGAAAGCGAGTCCCAAGAAACGACGCGCGGAGGTGGTCCCCTGGGACCGACTGACGACAGTTACTGACCTATAGTAGCCCGAGAACCAGCGTGATGGCTCCGAAGCCCGCGATGAGAGGCCGGACCGGGCACAGCGGGCGAACGCGAAGGACCTGAGCAAAAAGCCGAGAATTTGAGAGCACAGGAAACTCTCAAAAAGGTTGAAAATTTGCGATGCAGTATCTCTTAGGCAGCGCAGCGCGTTCCTGAATCACCAACTGGGGTGTTGCTGTGCACTGGGCCGGGTGCTGGTCAACGCTCGGTCAACTGCATCCAAGTGATTGAGATGATGTGCTGTAACAGCCGCATTATTCGCACAGGAAGTGCCTCGCGCAACCCCTCACCGCACGAGACCCACCTGGAGAAGGCTGCGCCGTCCATGCCGTAGAGCTGGTTGAAGCCAGGCTGTTTGCATGCCATGAAGCCAGCTGCCGCCGCCGGGACGCCAACCTTCGAGCTGGCCCATCTGCCCGCGAGTCGCAAGATTCACGCGAGCAAGCTGACAACCTGCATGCTACCCCTGCTCCCATCAGCCCGCTGACAGCAACGCAGCCGGGAACCCTGCCATTTAACGGCGCCCACAGGAGCGCCATCATGCCGCACAACTGCCATCAACCTTCACCGACGCCGCATGCAGGGGGTCCACAACCCCGACGTAGCCCATGCCACCCACCTTGTCCGCCACCTGGGCTGGCCCGCCGCGCCGCACCCTTCGTATTTTGATGTCGACCGTCCAGGGCTGCGGAGCAGCCAGCAGGCTCCAAGGCTCATGTCATTGTAGCTGGGCCTGCGCAGGACACAAACACAAACACATGCACAGGCTCACACGCTGGCTGCAGGTTGCATACGCCCCTGCTGCCCAAAGGCGCTTGTTGGCAGTGGCGCGGGTGGCACGCCCACAGCGGTGTCCAACGGCTGTGGGCACATGGCACGGTGCTGCACCGCTATGCGCCATGCTGGAGAGACACCCGCGGCAGCTCACCCAAGCAACTTGCCCAGGCTACTCGCCGCACAGTATGGGCCGGGGCGCAGGCCTGGCGGCGCGTCCAGCGCCACTGAGACGCTTCCAGCGCACTGCCGCCGGCAAACCAAAGCTGCATGGCGCCTCGCCATTCGCCATGCGGTGCCATGCAGCGCCAGCGCAAAGCCGCCGCCCTCGCTGGACGGCCCCTGGAGAATGCAGGCGTGATGCTGCCGCCGCCGCCGCTGCCGCTGCCGCTGCCGCTGCCGCTGCCGCTGCCTCAGACCTCCTCCAACTTGGCACGCCCCACCAAGCCACCTGCAGCACTTGCGTTGGCGAGGCGCTGCTCCAGCAGCATCCCATATCGGCAGCACGCCTCACGGCAAGAGACTCCATGCACATTCTGATGTTATAATGCTGATTGCGGCAAGGGGCGAGTAGATGGCCCGGCTCGGGGATCGGTTGAGCGGGAACTACCGTACCTAGCGTGGATGCGTGTTCATGATTCTTAAATGATGGTGCTTGGTCGCTTTGTAAGTCCAACCCTCTGCGGCGTTCCATCAGCCATGGCGGACGGGCGCAGCCGAGTGACAGGTGGGTGCAGGAGAGGGTGAGCACAGTGGCTGACCGCTGCTGCCTGACACCTCAGGTGGTGTACCCTCGTTGCCATGGCACCCTGCCTGAGCGGCTGGCTCCACTTGGCAGGACTTTGAGGCCGTTCAGAGCCTCTATTTGCCCCGACAGGTTGAGCGCGCTGGTCACCTTCAGGACCAGAAAGGCACCTGACATTGTGGGCCCTGGTCGGATCCGATGCCCAGGTGGCCAGCCAGCTGCTGCAAGTAAATGTAGAATGGATCCAGCTTTTCTTTTGGCCTGTTTTGAAGGAGGTCTAGGTGCTGGCAGCTGGTGCTGGCATGCGGCGTCGTGACGATTGTGGGCACCCACAAGCCCCGGCCCAGCCATCTCTTCCAGCTCTAGCATATTGAGCTCGCCAGCTAGCTACATTTACCGTGGCTGCAGGAGCCAGGGAACTTGATCACATGCAACGGTTACACCACAATCCCCAACGCGCAACATGAGCCACACGCTGTCTGGCGGTTCTGGTGGCGGCCCCAAACACTAATGCACGTGGGGAGGAGGTGCAAACTCTCGCGTAATAGACGGGGGAGCAGGGGAGCACAGGGTCACGCAACGCCCTGACAGGGATAGGTGCAAATGCCGCGTTTGTGCGCCGCATTAATTGAAACAGGCCAACGCGTGCGAAATAAGGGCGTCCCCGGGAAACTTGTGTGCGCGGTGCCGTCGGCCCCTTGAGACGGGTCTTGGCGTGGCCCGCCCCTGAAACGCGGGCCGATGGGCACGCGGGTGGGAATGGTTGGGCTTGTCAGCCCATATGCGTGCGCGCCTCTGGCGAAAGGGCTTTGATGTGCGCCCCAGGTGCCGTCCCAACATGCCCATTATAAACAGGAATGCCGCTCTGGCCAGCACCACGGCCGCCAAGATGCTAGAGCGAGGGATGTAAGTAGTGGGCACCTGCCTGGCTGCCTGCATGTTTGTGGCTTTGTGCAGTTCAGTGGAGGGCGTTTCTGGTGCGGCACAGTATCCTATTCGCGTGCCAGTTGCCTTCGGGAGCTTGATTGTTACAGCCACTGAATCAGCCAAGGGTTGGCGTGCTGCTTGGGCGGCAAGGGCGACCAACTCAAAAAAATGTGAGCCGCTGTGGCTCACATTTTGCAAGCAAGCACACACCCACGCTCGGACCCAAGTGTGAGTGGGTGGCACGCATGCATGCACGCACGCAAAGAGGCGAGGGGGGCACACGTGCAGTTGGCTGGGGCACCTCAGCGGGGTTAGGGGGCGCCCATGGGGCGGGCTGCCAGCTGGGGCTCCAGGGAAGCCGCTGTGGGCTTTGCGGGCTTCAAGCGGGGAAAGCGGGGCGGGCACGGAGGCGCTGGCGTGGGACAAAAAGGCGCCGTGCGTGTGTTCTGTCCTAACAGGGCATATTTTGGAATGAAGGCAAAGGGGCAGCGACGCGCGTGCGTTTGCATTGGAGCCGAAGGTGCCTGACAGCTGTCGTGCGCAGTGGGCGCCTGGCGTGGCTGGCGCCTGGCTGCCTGGATGGTGACGCGCTGCACGCAAGCTGACCCCAGCGTTTGACCGCCAGTGCTAAATCCTGCTAACAAGAGCAATCATGCATGCTGGGCTGAGCTGATCTGGCCTGCTGCAACCATCTACGAAAGAACACAAGCAATCCACTTGGGAGCGCTTGGATGAGGGGGCTGGGCACATGGGAGGGCCCGACCACTGCATCCAGCGGGGCCCGGCGGTGCAACTCCTGAGAGGCCTTACTCATAGTTGGCCGGGAAGTGCTGAGCGGGGTCTCACCCCGCTGAGCGCCTGGGCTTCCGTCCGCCTCAGCAAGGCTTGCCGTCGCGCCCGCTCTGGCTGCCAGGCCCCGCAAGGGTGTCGATGCGGCTCGCCTGCGCATCGACGCGTGCAGTCTGCTTCTGCACCTCCTGCTGGCCAAGGATCACAGCTGTGAGCTCGCGCTGCGACCCCCTGAATTCCTCCCTGAGTTTCTCCTGGATCTGCACCTGCCCCTCCTGGATTTGCGCCAAAACACTGAACAATGCCGCTGCCCCGGCGACAGCGGCGATCGGCACGCCGACTGCCACCACCGCGGCTGCAGCCGCAAATTTCACTGCCTCCACCTGCGACGACTCCCCTCCAGGCACGGACAGGGCAAAATGCAGGGCTCCCTGCACCCAAGGCAGGGGAGAGAGGGTTGGAAGCATCGGGGCGGAGTTGGGCTGTGCAGCCGTGGGGCACAGGGGTCGGCTGGCACCTCAGCGGGCCCCGGTGGCGCCCACACAGGACGGTGGCGCCCACACCTAATAGGGAACAGGTCAAACGCTGCAGCATGATATGGAGATTGCACGGCGCGCAGGCATCGTGCGAGCTGCCGCCGCCTGCCCACCTTCCAAACGACCGCCCCCAGCCAAAGCGCCATGCCCACGAGAAACATGATCGCAGCGACGCCCGCAGCCGTCCAGAGCGCCGTCGTCACCCAGGGCGGCAGCCCGCCCGGCGCTGCCACCCGCGAGCCCGCCCCTGGACCTGGCGCTGCTGCACCCGCCGCCCGAGATGGCAGCGACGCTGGGGCGGCTGACGATGTGCGCCGCGGCAGGCGCGGCAGGCAGCGGCAGGCGCCAGCTAGGCGGCCACGTGCGCGCACCCGGCTTGGGGTGGACGGCAGCTGGGCGCCCCAGCCGCGGCTCGCGCATAAAGCCATAGATGCTCAAAACCCAGCGAATCGTATGGGCTGCGTCATGCTGGCCCCCGCAGATCGTGGCACAAAGCGTGTTTCCGATTTCTGGCAAATAGCGCCTTGAAGCGGTCTATTCGCGAAAAGTGCCTTCTAAATTCGAATCGCGGCTTTTGTAAGGGCACTTCTGGTGTTGCGGAAAGGCAGAACATGTCTTTCTGCCGCGGATCAATACCGTAGGGCTGCAGGGCTCCCTGCAGCGGAAGACGGGGGCAGACCCAGGCCAAGCCCAGGACAAGGCCGGGGCATGCGTGGCTCACATGCAGCGAGGCAGTGTGCATGCGTGTGCGTGCGCCTGGACTGTCTCAAGGCCGGTCAGAGGCTGTGGACTTTCTCAAGGCCGTCCCCACTGGGGCCAGCCGCTCAGGCAGGGTGCCCTGGCACAGTGGTCCACCACCTGCGGCGTGGTGTGCTTAGTAGTGTTAGCGTTGCTTGCGCGCTCGAGGCAGCAGGCGCCGGCGGCCGGTTGTGGTTGGGGAGGCGTCCGAGCCGTGATGTAGAGCAGTTCCTTCACGTTTCATCTCGCTTGGTACTAGCACGCACATAACGATGCTGCATGCAGTCGGCCAAGCCCTGGCCCCGTCATCATCATGGTTTGGCTTGACGGGGTGCCAATGGCTGCGCGTGTACGCCAAGGTCGCGTTTGTCTCAGCGCTGCTGGGTGCAAGATGTGAGGGCGTCCGCCGAGGCGACCTGTGTGCACTTTGCCCGCGTACATACGTTGGACAATAAACAGAGGCAGATATCAGCGAACTGCCAGCAGGGTGTGGGGGCATGACGTAGCATGAGTTACAGGTTGAGAGGAGGGCAGGGACACAAGGGGGAGAGAGGCAGCCCCAAAGAGGCGATGCAAGGCGCAGACAGGCAAGGCAAAGTGGCCCCAAGCAGCCGCTGCCCCACACGCCAACATGCGCGCGCACAACCTGTGCCCCGCAAGGCAGGTGAGGCTTCACAGCAAGGAACCCGCTTCACGCCACCAGCGCGTCGCACGCAGGAGCGCGTCGCATGCAGGAGCGCGTCGCGTCACAGCAGGCGTGTGTCGCCGTGGGTGCCTAGCGTGGCTGGCGCCTGGCTGGCTGGATGGTGACGGATGCGCTGCACGCAAGCTGACCCCAGTGCCTAACCGCCATTGCCTAACCCCCTAGCCTGCGGGAATTTATGCCTGATAGGCTGAGCTGATCTGGCCTGCTGCGACCACCGCCTGAGCTGGGTTGGTCACTGCACAATGAACTGGGCCTAGCAAGGCATGTGCCCCACGCTGCATAGGGCACTGATGTTCCTGCTGCATTTGCAGGCTGCATGCTGGGTGCTCATCCATCTCTGTTGCTGCATGAGGGGGTCTACCATAGTAGGGCTGCAACCACCAGCCACTAGGGCTCGCATGTAACAATCCTGATCCTCTCACATGGTACCTCTGGATGTGGGTATTGCATGGCATGTAGCCCACGCCGGATGTGAGCCTGAATAGGGAAGCCAGAATCATGCAGGGAGGATGCCGAAAAGCGCGCAGGCATCGTGCGCGCAAGGCTATACGCAGGCAGTGCCCCTCCAGCTGCCGCAATCAGCTGGGTCGAAGCCAGGATGCAAGTCCGACCCCATTTGGCCCGACATGCCGGAAGAAATTTGCAACGAGACACTAGTTGCCACTGGTCTGTATGTGCTGTTGTGCATGATGGAGCAGCGTGCCTGCCACCTCATTTACACCCAGCGCGCCGCGGCGCAGGGCTGCAACAAAGGGCAGCCAAAACACAAGCATTCAACTTGGGAGCGCTTGGATGAAGGGGCTGGGCGCATGGGAGGGCCCGACAACTGCAGCCAGCGGGGCACGGGGCCGCAACTCCCAGGAGGCCTTCCTAGGCCACCGCAGGCGGCGGTTGAGTGCTGAGCGGGGCCTGGCCCCGCTGAGCGCCTGGGCTTCTGCCTCAGCAAGCCTTGCCGTTGCGCCTGCCCTGGCTGCCAGGCCCCGTGAAGGTGTCGATGCGGCGCGCCTGCGCATTGACGTGCGTCGTCTTCGTCTGCACCGCCTGCTCGTGCTGGCCGCGGATCACAGCTGTGAGATCTCGCTGGGAACTCCTGATATCCTCCCTGAGTTCCTCCAGGATCTGCGCCTGCTGGCGGAGCAATATGCCTAGTCCAACAATAGCGCCGACAGGCATGCCGACTGCCGCCACCGCCGCTGCGGCCGCAAACTTCGCGGCCTCCACCTGCGATGACTCCCCTCCAGGCGTGGAAAGGGCAAATTTTAGGGCGCCCTGCATCCAGGGCAGGTGAGAGAGGGTGGGGGCAGCAGTGCAGAGTTGCGCTGCGCAGCCGTGGGGTACAGGGGTCGGCTGGCACCTCAGCGGGCCCTGGTGACGCCCACACGTGACGGTGGCGCCTACACCCAAAAGCGGACACCCCCATGTCCGGTGGCACGCCGCAGCGTGATACGCGAGGGCGTCGCACGGGACGCAGGCGTCCTGCGAGCGGCCGCCCCCTGCCCACCTTCCAGACGAACGCCCCCAGCGCGAACGCCATGCCTACGAGGAACATGATGGCAGCGACGCCCGCAGCCGTCCAGAGCGCCGTTGTCACACAGGGCGGCAGCCCGCCCGGCGCTGCCACCGTTGAGCCCGCCTCTGAACCTGGCGCTGCTGCAGCCGCCGCCCCAGACGGCAGGGACGCTGGGGCGGCTGGCGATGTGTGCCGCGGCAGGCGCGGCGGGCAGCGGCAGGCGCCAGCTAGGCAGCCACGTGCGCGCACACGGCTTGGGGTGGACGGCAGCTGAGCGCCCCAGCCGCGGCTCGCGCAAAGGGCCATAGATGCTCAAAACCCAACGAATCGGACGGGCTGCGTCATGCTAGCCCACGCAGATCGCCCACTGCAGGGACACGCGCTCAGCAAGGTAGAGAAGAGCGTGTTTCCGTTTTCCCCTTGAAGTGGTCTACTTGCATAGGTAGCCATATAAGTTCAAGGCGCGGATTTGACATGATGACAAATGACAAGCTCCGGTCGTCACTGGTCGGCACCTGAGTGCGCATGCGGCCCCAGGGCTTTTGCAGCGATTGCTCTTCGGATAACAGATCATGGTAATGATTTTCTGCATCGAAATAGTAAATATTGGGGCGGAGGCTGGTGGCACGAACGTCTTTCAACAACTGAGCGCTCGCGCCTGGCCGCGTGCTAACAGATGAGGCGCCTATCAGCGCAATTGGCAGCGATAGCATACGTTACTAAAGTCCAGAAGCCCCCAGCGTGCTGCACTGCAGGGGTGGCGCAGTGTTGGGCGTCAAGCAGCAGCGGCGCAAGGCCCGCAACTGGCACTAGCGGCGCATCTGGGGCTGTTGCTGGTCCCTGGCGTCAGGCAAGCGGGGCGTGATGATCACACAAACGCGTATGTACTTGTTCGCACGAGTCATGTGAAGTGCGCGACCGCAGCTGGTGACGAGCAACAACCAATCCACCTGCCCGCCCGAATCCTCGTCAGCGTCGCGCCCTCCGCCCTCGCTGCTCGCCCGTCCATGCATAACCGGCCAACTCGACGGCTTTTTTGATGTCTCCTCCCAACTCCACCCTCTGATAATGATCTTGACCTGAGGTCAGATCCTGGAGGCGGCCCAGGTGGACAAGGTCAAACTGAGGGACTTCGTCGGCACGCTGCACCGCCACTGCCTCTTGGTGCGCCACGATGCAGCTGCAGAATAGGTTCTGGTTCAGATGTACCGCAATCTGGCTGCAAATGTGTGTGCGACGCCGGGTCAGCCGAAATCGACTGACAGCCATGTGTGGGCCCGTCAGAAGGCGGGTGTTGCGAGTCAGGCGTCGCACCCACCGGCTGGACTCGGAGCAGGGGAGGGTCGGGAGGGAATATCGCAGCAGGGGACGCAGGGCTGTTGTGCCTGGGTTGGGGACGGGATCGGCCGCGACGCGGCTGGCTTCAGGGCCGTGTGTGCAGTAGCAGATTCGGGCCCCACAATGCGGCTGCAGCCAGTGGTGGCGCGGAAGCGACACCCCACAGTCAGCCTTCTGGGGCTCGCTCCTCTTGAAGCACCCAATCCATCCATCCATCTGCCCTGTTTAACCTCTTGCCCAATCGCTTCCTTTATTGCCCTCATTTCATAATGTATTGCCCCCATTCCATCATTCATTGCCCTCATTTCTTGATTCACAACCCTAATTTCATAAATTCATGTATACGCTTGCTCATGTTTGACATCCCAGACCCAGACGTGCCCCCCTCTGGCGCCCTTCAACGAGCTCCTGCGGATCGGCAACAGGCACAGAGACCGCCAGAGCGTCGACAAGGTCGGCAACGGCCGTGATCTGGCCGTGATCTGGCCATGATCTGGCTGTGATCTGGCCGTGATCTTGTAGTGTCCGATCCTGGACTGATCCCGCAGAGACCGCTGCTTGCAGCACGCACCCCCCCATGCGAATGCCCTGGATCTGCGGCGA